GCGGTGCGGCGGGTGGGAGGATGGGTACCCAGGGCAGCCCAGTGAAGAGCTACGATTACCTGCTCAAGTTCCTGTTGGTGGGCGACAGCGACGTGGGCAAAGGCGAGATCCTGGAGAGCCTTCAGGACGGCGCGGCCGAATCCCCGTACGCCTACAGCAACGGTAGGCCGGGGCGGCAGTGGGCGCGCGGGGCGGGAGCTACTGGCGCGGGCGGTGGCGGCCTCTGCGAGTGGTTGCTGCGGCACTGAGCTACGATTACCTGCTCAAGTTCCTGTTGGTGGGCGACAGCGACGTGGGCAAAGGCGAGATCCTGGAGAGCCTTCAGGACGGCGCGGCCGAATCCCCGTACGCCTACAGCAACGGTAGGCCGGGGCGGCAGTGGGCGCGCGGGGCGGGAGCTACTGGCGCGGGCGGTGGCGGCCTCTGCGAGTGGTTGCTGCGGCACTCTAGCCCTGCCCGGGGGAGCCAGTTAGCCAGCTGGCGCGGGCCGGCGTAGCGGCGTCCGACTGGCGCGAGGTCCCAGCGGCAGGTCTGTGGAGTCGCCTGAGATGGTCCGCGCAGTAGGAATCGCACGAAGGCAGGGTCCTCGCTGCACTGTCTCCCTAGTGGTTTGCTCCAAGACATTGCACCTTGGGCAGGGAGAAAAGTACCCCGGCCGCCTTGTGATTCTTGTTAACTTCCGGGTGCATGGCAAAAAATACAGAAGGTAGATTGCATCACTGACACTTGCCTGAACTTGTCTATTAATTTAGGTATCTAAGGTAAAATCGTAGTTAACAGTGGGTGGGACTGGATCACAGGCTACAGGGGTGTGTCCATAGACGATCCAGGGACTGCTGACTCCGGAGAAACTGGTGTCTAGTGGGCCTTCCGTGCTCTGGAAGTGCTGTATTACCAGATGTAAAGCACTTTACCTCCCTGGTCCCTTCCCGGGTCCTTTTTCTCTGCCTCTGTACCTCGTTCCCTGGGTTATTAGTCCTGTCTTACTGCTTTGAGCATTTGATGTAAATAACTTGCCTGTGGGCAGCTGAGAGTGTGTCAGGACATCTCCCACCCTTTGGATTTAGGACCTGTCCAGGGTGATGACCACCAAGACTTTGGTGTAGGACCCTTCCTCCTAAGCAGCCGGGCTAGATCTGATCTGTGCTGTTTCCTCAAGCTCTAGCACTCAGCTTCAGTCTTGAACAGAGTCTTCAAGTGCTGGAGAGGAAGAGCCATGGGTTTATTTTCAGGAGTGTGTGAGGGGGCCTCTGCATCTACTAGGCCACTCTGACTGGCATTTGATTGGATATCCCAGGGGTGATAATCTTGCTCAGATAGGTTTTGGAGTTGATTTTCCAGAAGTGGGGCAGGGCTGGGCTTTAGAAGTGCTTAGTAATAACTTGTGTTTTGGAGAGTCAGCTTGCCTCCCACCAGCTTCAACTGTGTATACACATAGCCCCTAACTGTACCCTCCCTCATTTTCTTTATCAGTTGTATATTGCCGCATTTCCTATGACATACTAGTGGCACACAAAAAGATATAGAGATGTGGGACTTACTTTAGGCTGCTTACCACAGGGTACCATTCACCAGATGCTTTTATACTGCAAAAGCTATAAGGCCAGGGCACACTTGCAGATCCTATAGTCTGAAGCAGAGAGGTGCCTCAACTGTGGCAGCACACTCCCTGTGTTGGGGTCTCAAGGCTGAAATGCACACAGCATGAGTGTCAGGTCTTTATTATCAGGGCATCAACTCACTGATTCAGGGAGCATTCTTCCCTTAGTGAAATTGGTGAATCTGAGAGCATTTGGGCCTCCTGAGAGACTGTTGGGATTTGGAAGTGCCAAAGCAGCTCTTGAGATTGAGTACAGTGTGAATTTGCTCTTCTTTGAAAGAGCTGTAATATTCAGTAGCTTTAGATTTTTGGTCCTCTTAAAGGATAGGTGGATAGGTGAATTTTTCCCCTCACCATTCATTAAAGAACTTCAGTATGTATGTTTTCAGTTTCTGGTTTTCCTTCAAGTTTCAGGCTCTTCTGATCAGGGACATGGAGCATGGAGGTCCCTACCTGGGAGGGACCTGCTGCTCCATAGTTGCCTCCAACCTCCTTCCTGATCACAGCTGGGTTATTTACCTGTTTTAAAGTCTCGTCTAGCTTGTTTCTCAGATGTGAACATCACTCTCTCTGACTTCACAAACATGTGAGTCATCAAAATGGTTTTTTTGTTTTGTTTTGTTTTGTTTTTTATTAGTACTGGCACCTGAAACCGTGATGATACTGTCACCACATGTCCAACATCTGCCAGAGTCCTGGGTCTGCTGTTTTCAGAGGTTTGAATCTTTAGTGAAGCTAGAAATTGTAGTGAATTCTAGTGAAGCTAGAAACTTTGAGGCTTTGAAAATACAGCAGTAACTAGTTTGAGCAGTCATTGTAGAGGAACATCCTGTTCTTTTGGGCATGGAACATGGCATTTTGCATAGAGCTTCCACCTGGGTATCCACAGAGGGATTATGCTCCAGAGCTATGGATTCTTTATTGTGGAAGAGAACAGGAAGAGGGAAAGGTGTGCTTTCAGCAAGCAGCTTCTCACAAGCATATCACCAATGGCTCTGCCTCTAGTTCTGTTGTTGGCCCTAGGGTGGTAGGTTGATCGTGTTAGTCCCAAGTCAGTCTGCTGAGTTCTCACTCTTGAGCCCAGGAACTATCCTCTATAGCACACAGCCTGTCTCTGTTTGTGTTGTTTGTGTTATGGGCATTGACTCTCTTCATTTAAGACAATTACATCTTGTCTCAGCTCCTACAAAGCTTCCTGAATGTTAGGGCCTCCAGGAAAGTCCACTGTAGCTTATATGCTCATGGCTTGAAAGATTCACATGTGTTAACAAGTCCACGGGTGTTACTTCATTTCTCTGATTCTTTGGGAGTTAGCGTTTATGGAAGAAAGCTGCAGAGTGATGCGGTTGTCCTTTGAGCCCAGGAAACTGGGAAGAAGGCAAGTGACTGGACAAAGCAGTGCTGACATGGAGCTTTGCCATGAAATTTGGGGCCTGATGGTTATGGGGATGTCGTGGAATCAGGTGATATACTTGAGAGAGCAAGGATATTATTGACTATGTCACAGTATACTGTGAGGTCCCTGAGGGAGTCAGGGCCATGGTACCACATCAGTGACTCAGAGGGTTGTATGGTCACTGGCTTCCTGGTTGGCTATTCTCCAGCCTTCATTGAGAGAGAGCTGGGCAGACCTCAAACAGTGGAGCAGTGGTACCTTGTGACTTGCCATCCCTCACTCTTATTGGGCCTAGGACTGGTTGCTGTACACCCACTGCTTCTTCATACTTTGAGACCCACACCTTGGGAGAACTGTCCCCACTCTTGCCTAATCCAGCCATCATCTGGGAAGCTACATTATCCTCCTTGTGAGTTGTCATTTCTTGACAGGCATTATAATTTGTCACAAGGCAGACATCCCTACAAGTGCTGACTTGCCAGCTTTGTTTCCAGAGGCATGCTGTTCCCTACCATGCCTGAGATCAGCCCATACCATTCTCTCTGTGCTTGTGAACTCCACTACTGGCCCCTGGGCCTTGGTTCACATCTTGCCCTATGTCATGATATTATGTAGGCCCCCCGGAGGACTGGTTACCTTCTATTAATTTGCTATAATTAGGTGTCCCTCTTGCTTTTTCTCCCTGACCTTGTCACCTCCTCCTCAACCTTTCATCATTTCATTCACTTGTTCAGTCATGTATTCTTGGGTGTCTTACCCGGCAGTAGGCCAGAAACTGAGGGTACAAGGCAGAACAGAATAACAGATTTTGCTTTTATAGAATTTTGAGAAAAATAAGAACAGGGCCCTTTGGGATGCAACATGGCAGGCTGGAGGAGGTGCAGTGTTCTGGGAGTCTGTAGGAAGGACCTAGCCTAGAAGTCAGGTATGGCTTCCTGGAGGAAGGGGTGTCAAAAGTGAGTCCTAGAGTGGGCAAGAGTGAGACAGAACAGTGATCCTCAAACACCGGAGCTGCTGAAGGTCACTGAAGTGCTCAGGGTCTCCCTGAGTTCCCTAAGAGGGAGGGCCACTTTTCAGCCAGGCTTAGGGGAGGGTTCTAGGTAAGAACAGCCTACATGAGGATAGCAGGGGTGCTCCCAAGCATTGTGGCCAGGGGCTAAGTGAGTCTTCTTACTGCACACTGAGCTTCCTCTTTCCTTACCAGTTGCCCTTGTTTCCTGCACTTTCTTGCCCTCCTGGGGCAGGCACTTCTGTGATGCAGTACCAGTTACCAAGGCATGTTCTCCTTTTGCTAAACTGTCCTGCCCTTTCTGCTTCCCGCCCAGCCGCTTCCAGCTGAGCAGAGGCCACTTGTAGATCTGTCTGTTTTTGTTTGTTTATTTGTTCATTTGGTGATTTTTAGACAGGGTCTCTGTGTAGACCCATCTAGCCTGGAACTCTCAATGTTAGACCAGGCTGGCCTCAATCTCACAGAGATCCACCTGCCTCTGCCTCCCAAGTGCTGGAATTAAAGATGTGAGCCAACATTTCCAACTTGTAGGTCTGTATGTATGTGGCAAGGTTTTTAACTTTACCTCTGTACTATCGCCTACTCCTTTTGAGAATGTGACAGGCTGTTAGGACACATTTCTGTGTCTAGTTTAGCTTATGCTGATTGACTGTAAGTAGACTGGCTGGTATCCTTTTTTCATATCTCAGAAAATAGTTTGTGGGTAGCTAGCATATTTATTTGTGTTTTTAAAATTTATCATTATTATTATTATTATTGTATTTTTGAGACAGGGTCTCCCTATAGCCACAGCTGGTTTAGAACTCGCTATGTAGACCAGGCTGGCCTTGAACTCACAGAGATCCACCTGCCTCTGCTTCCCAAGTGCTGGGATTAAAGGCGTGCGCCACCATGCCCGGCTAGTGTATTACTTTTATTTTATGTATATGAGTGTATTGCCTGTATGCATGTAAGTGCACCCATGTCATGCAGTGCCCATGGAGGTCAGAAGAGGGTGTCAGATTCCCCTGGAACTGGATTTTACACACGGTTGTTAGCTTCCATGTGGGTGCTGGGAATTGAACCTGGGTCCTCTTGCAAGAAGAGCCAGTGCTCTTAATCCCTGAGCCATCTCTCCAGCCCCTATTATATTTTTTAATTTTTGTGACAGGGTCTAATTATGTGACCCTAGCTGGCCTGAAACTCTATGTAGACCAAGCTGGCCTTGAACTTGCAGTGATCCTCTACCTCTGTCTCCTAAGTGCTGAGATTAACATGGCTGGTTAGAATATTTGTTTTTCCTTGGTCCTTAACATTGTCATAAACAATACCAGATGACACAGCAAATGCTCAAGTGTTGGGTACACAGCAAGACCAA